ACATCCGTGCACTGATAAGTTATTTTACCAGAGACGTTGTTAACTATTTCAACAGATTTATATTGTATATATTATATATATTATACTCTTTTGAATTTTACTCTAATCAGAGATAGAAGGAGTTCTAAATGCTGAAAAATATTTTGAGTGCTAACAATAATAAACTACAATTAACTTTTTTTTTTAAGAAAGGATGTAAAGCTTCTTCAGTTACCAAATCAAACCTTATACTCAACTAACCAAATTCTACATAGAAATGATAGGAATATTTCAGTAGATGCATTTAAATAATATGGATATACATGAAATCAATGTAGATATTATACAAAATGAAGATTGTATAATATTAATAAAATTAAGTAATTAAAATATTTCTTTATTTATTGAAACATAATTTCATTTTTTAATTGCAAATATAAGATAAAATAAATTAAACTGTCCAATTTATGAGCAATTCACTTTAGTGGATAGTAGTTAGACAAGTACTTCATTTTCATTTGTAAACTTTTGAAGACAATATTTTTTTATATTCTATATTCTTTTGAGTGTAAATTAATTACAAGTTTAAGTGATCTTATTTAAACAAATTGGCAATCAAATCTATTTACATCTACAAGCAGTTCACACATACAATGCTGGAATTAACTTGAACCCACAGTTTAAAAAACATAATTAAGAATAATTAGAAGTCATACTGAATCCGAAACCAGGTACTTATATGGTACGAGTGATAGTCTCTATCGAAAGAAACGTGCTGGCATCTAATCCTTTCACTTTTAAATAACATCATGTATTTACGTACATGTATAAAGCACATGCAGGTATACATACCCGCACGGAAGGGGTGCAGAAGAACAAATGCATTAAAACCACAAACTTGATTGTGACCGCAACTCAATTTCAATACTTTTTTCTATTGAAAAATAAACAAAAACTTCTAGTAAAAATCATTAGATATAATATTTAAATAATTAAATCCGTTCATTTCAACAATTTATTTAAATTCAAATTATTAGTTTGCCATTCAGCAAATTAAGATTAATTTAAGTAAACGCAATTACCGTTGAATTACTTGCAAATATTTAAATTTTTTATGAAAATTAATGGTTTTACGGCGGATTTTGTGAGCGCAATTTAATTTCAATCAATCTGAACCTTAACCCTGAACGGCTTCAATTGAGAGATCAAAAAGAAACGCACGTTGTTGCTTATCTACGATCGTAAATTTTGACAAACAGTAAACAATTTTAATAGATTTAACAGAAAACAGAAACTAGTTTTGAATGAAACAAAATTGAGATAAAAATAAGTTCACTGACCTAACAAATACATTATGTTTAAGGAGACGAAATGAAATTTTTATATGAATTTTTATTTCATAAAGATTATTGGAGCGTACAAAAGCAAAATAGTCTGGATGTTATTAACTAATATTAAATAGAAACCGACTGCAGGTAGAGATCTAATCAATATCTATTTAATCATCTTCTCGAGCATACCAGTATTTAAATTTTTTCCTTTGAATTATATTATTTTTTTTATAACGGATCCGCATATTGAATAATAGGATTTAGGTTATCTACTTAATGCCTTTCAGTATATCATCTAGTTTCATTAAGATCTCATATAAGTTTCAACCAACCGTTCAATCAACCGCGCCCTATTCAGTAATTGCTCAGAGAAAAAAATCTTAAAAATACTCCAACTGTTCAATTTTCTCTTTCGTCCGAACACCTTTTATAGGACTCCATACTATTGCATACTGTAAGTACATCAACAATACTTCTTGTTGTAGGAGACTGGAGGGAGGAAACTTTATATAGAAGACTGTTTGTTATTTGTGTCATATAATCGGTCAGAGATACTTGGTATTATTCCTTCTTCAATAACATTATTGAACACTTTTAATTATTACAACCTTTTATAAGTAAAGCAGTCAATTATTTGCTGAATCTTAC